AAAAAATGCACCAGTAATAAAGGGCAATGAGAGGTGGTAAGAGGGAGGGATAAGCAACAAGATGGGCATGATCAAAGATTTAAAGGCATAGGGGCAAGAGAGAGTAGAACTCATGTGAAGACTCTCAGGAACTCTTAGGAGGTGCAGTACATGCAGGGTTGGGTGACCTGGTTGAGACATGACAGACAAGGCTGAATAGACAGGTAAGTCAGCCTGTGCTCAAATGCTCTAGTCAGAATTTTCTCTTGAAGACAAATAGACATGAACCCTCTTATGGAAGAGTACGGCCACATCAGCCTTGGGGTAAATGGTGACAGACTAGTGCATAGGCACAAGGGAGGGTCAGATGGAAGTGTGATGATCAGGTAGCAAGTAAAACTATAAAAGTGCAACTATGGTAATGGCAGTGGGACAGCAGAGGGGGATTTAGGAAACGGAACAGCCAGAACTTTAGAGCTCACTGGTAGACAGGGAGGAAAAGAAAAGGGAAGAATTCAGGAAGTCTCCTGGCTTTGGTTCAGGCAAGGGACAGATGAGAAGTTCTGGGGAATCATGCCATGAGGTGCCTTGACTGGGAAGGGGGAGGACAGTGGAATTCCCTTTTAGATGCCTGGGTTTGAGACGCACACGGAATACTGTTAGATGGCAGTGGTGGAAGGGAGTATCAGGTAAGTGAAGGGAACACTGAGAACATTAAAAGAGAGTGGGTAGAGCTACCAAGTTGCCTATTTGCTTCAATCTTCATTGGCAAGAAGACTGGCCTTCAAATTAGAAATGGCAGAACAAACATAATAAAGAGAAAATTGAAGTCCCAAATAAGCGAAGTGAAAGAAAGAGTATCTAGTCAATTTAAATGATTTCAAGTCCCCTGGCTCAGATGAGTTACACCCCAAGCTTGCTGAAAGAAATTGCAGATGTAATCTCAGAAACACGACTGGCAATCTTTAAGAAATTGTGAGGACTAAAAGGAGTGCGAGAGACAAAAAAAGGATGACAACTGTTTTCCGCAATTTTCAAGCGAAGGGGGTTAGATTATCACGGGAAATACACAAACAAGTTTTACTTCACCTATGGCAAAAATCCTAGAATAGCTTACTAAATAGATGTTTGATGAGTAGTTAATGCACACAGCTGAGAAAAAGGAAGAAAAGATGTTGTTTGTGGTTTGGAAGCATTTTATTTGTACCAGTAGTTTGGAGTGGTTGTGGCTGGCCCTTTCCCCTCCTAAGCACAAAGCAAGTTATCTTCGCCTGCACTCTGAATGAAAGGATTCTCTATCTCTGATTTGCTGAGACGTGGCCCTTGATTAAAAGAGGTTGACAATTTAAATGAAGAAACTGACAGTTTGAAGCAGCCAAGCAGTCCAGCATCAATTCCTCGGGGAGTCTGGGGAACCAATAAACTGCATTAGCCTAAACATCAACAAACCTGTGCCCATTAGGGGCCTGCTTGTCTCATTTTTGTGTTAGTTTGCTCTTTGTACAGAATGTCTTTAAAAAGAGAACAAGAAACAAGGCAAATATGGTAGAGCATGATGGGGTGGGGATAGTCACGACCTACCCAAACCCCTACCTCAGGCAGCTTAGGATAGACAGAAAGACGGATATTTGTAATAAGCCCTTCTTCAGAGGCCTCCTTACACCAAAAGAGAAGCAGCAGCCTACTTGAGACCCAAGTGGCACTACTGAACTGAAAGCATATCCTTTGGGGGATGTCACTAGTCTCATGTTTAAAAATTACATAATGCTATATAAATCAAGAAAAAATGGTCCTTTCTTAAAAGACAAAATTGAGTAATTTAAAAACCCAAACACAAAGGTCACTAAGAAGATTTTAACTAGGTTTCATATTCACATCTGTTCTGCTCATGCATAAAATCATTTATTAAAGTTGAGAATAATTTTTCTTTCTATGTAGCCTCTCTTGATATGATCCTGTATCTCTAACCAATATAAACTGAGATCTGAGAAGACAGTAAGTCATCTTAGGGAAAGGCCTCTTATCTACTTCCCTACAAGTCTAATTCCGGTGCATCTTCCCCTCCTAACATTTATAGCAAAGAATAGTTGCGTTTTTTCACTTAAGTTATGGAGGACATCATTTGCCAAAATACAATTTTCAATGGTGGTTTCCATTTTAAAACTAAAGAATGACAAGAAATCTTACCGTATTGACCCAATCATGTATGGCTGTGCCAGCTGAACCACAATTGCACCACTTCCTAGCTGGTGACATGTGTAGCCGGAATCCCAATCGTAATTCTTGGTGTCCCCATTCAGCAAGGCATTTCGGCTCCGACTGACTCCTTCGATCACACTGGCACAATCGGCAATCGTTGCAACATTCTCTGTGGGAACTGTGAATCCAAACACAAGAGTTGGCATCAAGGTAAGAGGTTCCAAATATATCCCAATAGCATGCTCAGCACAAAATTAATTAATTACTATCTCAAGTCTACAATAAAAGGGAAACTAGAACATCTTCATTACCTTAAGATATGAAGTTTCTATGCTAAATAATGAAAAAAATCAAACCTGAGGTTGGGACGATTCAAATTGTATGTAGCATTTAACCCTGAAGTATTTTACTATAAAGAAACATGACAACTTATAAAATACAGAAGGGAAAAAATTGAAACAAACTTTTTGTAAATAAACAGGGAAGAGGGGCAGAAGGGAGGGGGAGGGAAAAGATCAAGATATATCACATACTGGTACAAATTCCCTATAATGAATGTGATCATTTGATACACTTAAAATATACCAATAAACAAAAAATGCAGACTGGATAAATATATTGTAGAATATTCCTACAGTGAGATACTTCACAGCCACTGAAGCGATGGGGGCAACACAGGGAGAGGGAGAAGCAGCAGGGAGGGAGGGAGAGAGCCAGTTAGTTTCTGGAGACTGAATCCAGATCCTCATGCACGCTGAGCAGTTGAGTTATACCTTGGCCTAGCAATAGAGACTCGTAAGCTATAGATATACATATATGTTGAGTAGAAAATTCATAAATTCAGAATTCTAGAATTCATAAAACAAAAAACGAATCCAGGACACAGTACCAATTCCTTTTCAGAATATACAGTTAGCCTCAGCCATGATTCATTTCCTTTTTTTGTTTACTATTCTGTGCACTGCAACACATATGCTTTTCCTTTGTTCATGAACTGATATATCTTGAAAAACCAGCTGTGTTTTGATTCTGAGTCTCTCTGCTTCAAGTCCATATCAACCAGTTTATTTTTAAAGTCAACAGCTCCCACCAAATGACAGTTCTCAATATAATAGAGATTCTCTGAACAGTGAGAAAAGAATGATAGAAAGATAAGGCAGTCTTAAGTTCCCAGGGTATTCTGTGTACTTAAGTTATTCAACCATAATCTATGATTTTCTTTAAATATTTAGGTTATTTAACAAAATCTACAATGTTAACCTGCTATACTTTTTTTTGTTTGTTTGCTTGTTTTTGAAACAGGGTCTCACTATGTAGTTGAGACTGACCTGGAACTCACTATGTAGCCCAGGCTGGTCTTGAACTCACAGCGATCCTCCTGTCTCAGCCTTCTAAGTGCTGGGATTACAGGCGTGCGCCACCATGCCCGGCTTAACCTGCTATACTTTTCAGAGACCATATTATACTCTCTGAAAAGGAAGAGGGCAAACACTGAAACACTTCCAGCTTTCTAATGACAGTAAGTAATCTTACACCTATGTCTAAGTGATGCATTTATTTTCCAAAGCTGGACCAGACCTGTTCATAAGCCTTCATCTCACATCCTTGACTTACTGCTCTGCTCTCTGAAGATGAGGAAGGAAGGGAGGGAGGGAGGGAAGGAAAGTGAGGATGGATTATCTAGTGATGAATCTCTTGACTATGAGGTTCAACTCCAACATAAAAAGCAGAACACTGGTGATATTTCCTGTAAGGACAGTTTCCTGTCAGAAAAGGGGCTCAGATAAAAGCTCCCACGACTTTGTAACACAATAGAAGTAAAGGACTAACTACAGAGTTCTGACACCTCAATCTCCCAGAAAAGAGGCATCGCCCTGCATTTGGGAGAGGCACAGGATGCACAGCAAATTGAGCTGAGACAGAAGACAATACTCCAGGTAAGCTATGCCACAGTGACAGACAGCACCCCCCATCCTTAGTGGTTCGGTGTAGCACACATTCATTTTTGACTCACATTTTTTATTCCATCAGCCAGGTGGCTCTGCTCACTGTATCACTCAGGGACTCCTGTGACAGAAGCTTCCCTCTGACATATGTTTCCTCGATCACAGCAGCAGTGCAAAGAGAATGAGCCTGGCCTCGGTTCTTCAAATAACCCCTCAAAGTAACGTAAGTCTCTCTGCTCACATTTCATTAGCCAACACAAGTCATGTGGCCTTACTTGACCTCACAGAGGTTGAGCAGAGTAAAAAGCAATGCTGCTGTGTGCACAGGAGAGGTGACCCAGAGGAAAAAAGGGAATATTCCCTTGAACAGTATTAATATCTCCCAAAAACATTAAGGCAGGATGAAGGCATACTCAAAAAAAGATAAATCTGGTCATCTGTTTAAAGCATATAAGGTATTTTAATGTACAAATATTCCAAAATGTATATACCTACTCTCATGCTGAAGGACATTTAGGTTGTTATCACCGCTTTCTGGGTGTTGTAGTTTTTATCTAGATGTCCCTCAAAGCCTCAGGTGCTCATAGGTGGGGCTTTGGGGAGGTGACTGGATCACAGATTCATTCACTGATGGGTTTGTAGCTAAATATGATGTTGGGAGGTGAACCTGGTCAGAGGAGGTGACTCACTGGGAGATGGCCTGGAAGGGTCTGTCTCTCCCCTTCCTTCCTTGATGCCTCTGCTTCCTGCCTTCATACCAGGAGCAACCCTCCTCTGCCAGGCCCCTCTGCCAAGCAACCCTACCTTGAACCCAGTCAACTATGGACTGAAACGTTTACAAACTGAGCCAAAATAAACCTTTCCTCCTCTAAACGGTGGGCATCAGAATTGTCTCAGCAACAAGAAAGTAACTAAGGCACTGGAGATGTGTGTGTGTGGGTGTGTGTGTGTGTGTACTGTATATACAGAGACAGTATATATGTATGTGCATATACTTATGTATACAAACTCACAATAATATAGATGTATCCATACTCATAGCTGTGGATTACCTTCAGCTACCATAGACCTTACCAAATTATCTACCCAAATAATTACAATTTTGCACTCTCATTTCTCCATATCCTAATTTTTGGTAATATCGGATAGATAAGTATGAAAAGATATGTCAGTGTGTGTGTGTGTGTGTGTGTGTGTGTTGCGTGCGTGCATGAATGTGTGTAAGTGTGCACATGCATGGGTGTGTAACAATACTAGAGTTGAACCCGGGGCCTCTTGCAAGTGAGGCAATTGCTGAACCACATCCCCAACCCATTTTTATTTCAGGACTTAAGTTTTTTATTCTGGGTCTTACATTGCCCAGGCTGGCCTTCACCTTGTGATCCTGTCTCAGTCTCCCCAGTAGCTGGGAAATGGGTATATGCCACTGTGCCAGGCTCAATGTAGTTTTATTGTTTCATTACTTTTGCCAAAGTTAAAACATACCTCCCAAATCCTGGAGATTATTCTCTGCCTCTCTTCTGTATATTGCCTATTTTTTTCTTTTGTCTATTTTTCTATTATCCTTATAATTGATTTGCAGGATGTCAATTCTTTGTAGGTCAATATACTAAGATATTTAATCTTTTATGATTTTTGCTTTTACTTGTTTAGAAATTCTTTCCCATGTCAAATCCATAAAGGCATTTTCCTGTATTTTGGTTTTTTTTTGTTGTTGTTGTTTGTTTTTTTTGAGACAGGGTTTCACTATGTAGTTGAGACTGACCTGGAACTCACTATGTAGCCCAGGCTGGTCTCGAACTCACAGCGATCCTCCTGCCTCAGCCTCCTGAGTGCTGGGATTACAGGCATGCATCACCACACCTGGCTATTTTCCTGTATTTTATCTGAAAGTTTTTGGATTTTATTCTCATATTTGGGTCTTTACTTAGAATTTATTTATGAGATAGGGACTATTTTCATCTTTTATTCATAAAGACGGCCAATTTCCCCAATACCATTTAATTAACAGCACATCCTTTCCCCGTTATTTCAGTCACATATAAACTTTTTGTATACATTTGCATCTCCTTTTAAGTTCTGTATTCTGTTTCATTGACTGATTTGCCTATTTTCGTCCTTAACCATGCTGTTTCAGTTACTATAATTTTACGGTAATATTAAAATCTTTCCTCCCTCTCTTTTCCCTTTTTCCTCCAAATTATCTTAGATGTCCTTGGTCCTTTTGGGAAAAAATTTACATTTTAGGTTTTCAAATATATCTGACATGCAATTTTCCATAATATGCCCTCTTCATTCCAAATATTATTTGTATCTTTTTTGTTTAATCCTGTACAGGTTTGTCTGTCTACTTCATTAGGGCTTTCAAAGAACTACTCTTTTCCCCCCTTTATTACACTAAATTCTTCATTATTGTTCTTCCTTCTGCTTCTTTGGACTTATCTATCTGTCCTATTGAAGTGAATGTTTGACTCATTAATCTTTTTCTTTTATAATAAATATCCTTAAAGATAATAACTGTACATACTTCTAAGTCTTGTTTTCCATTATCCTCAAGTTGTAACACATATACAGTGTTCTATAGTATGGCCAAATATTATACAGAATGTCCCTAAGCCTGAGCTTTTCTGATACATAGTATTTTTTTTTTTTTTTTTGAACTGGGGATCGAACTGGCCTTTGTGCTTGCTAGGCAGGCGATGAAACCACTGAGCTAAATCCACAGCCCTGATACATAGTATTTTAAAAGATGACCATTTCTAACTATTTTCTAATTTCCATGATTTTTTTCATATTCAGATATATGTTTTTAACACACATACACACATCTTATTTCTTATTCAGATGTATGTTTCCCAGGCTTTCTTGATTTTCTGGGTTTTTTTTTTTTTTGCAAATGACATCAAATTACACCTTTATTATAAAATTTTCTTTTTTTTTTCAGCTTTGAGTTTATTGGTACATTTTAGGGATACAGTACAGTTACATTCATTGAAGATTTTCTGGGTTTTAAATGCAATGTATACAAAAACTGGTCTGTACAATATTAACTTGGTAGGATCTGAGACATATCTATTCATTTGAGAGGGTATGGTTTAATTTCCATGTGTTTGCAAGATTTCCGTAGTTTTTGCCATCAGTTTCTAGTTTCACTGCATTGTAGTTTCAATTATTTTGTAGTTACTTATGTATGTTTTATGGGCTAGCATGTGGTCTATTTTGGAGAAAGTCT